ACACCTGCCGCTTCACGTGGAAAAGGGTCAAAATATTTGCCATCAATGTCAAAGACTGAAAGATAAACTATAAGTAGACAATTGGATCAAATATGAATGGGAGTGTCAGATTAATCATCAGAACACGCCGCCAAGTTTCGGCGTTCAAGATTAAAAGTTTTGGCGATGAGAACGGAAGGCCCGGGTGGCGCAGTTAGCCCCCGCTTAGGGTAGGATTGAGCAAAGTAAATATATGAACATGACGGCGCTGGCTACTTCTCATCACATGACTTCATTTACCTACGCATTTTATTCCGTACATCTCTTTATTTTAAACAAGGCTTACATAAAGACACCAGTGGTGAAATACATCAAAATCATGCTCGAACCATCAACTATAATATACCAGGAACGTGGCGGAACTTCATGCATTGCATCGAGGATCCAAGTGATAATTTTTGCCGACCTATTGGGTTATTTGAGCCTCGACACCGGGATTGAAGAAAAGTATATCTGGAGAAGATCCCATTACACTATGCAGCGTGCCTTACACAATTAGCTCTCCGCTCCTCTCACACATACGTGCGCAGGCAAGCTTAGAAGATCTAATCTTTCAAATTTTAGTCGAATATATAGGGCGTATCTGTCGGTCGGTAGAGTCGAGCCTCCAATTGCATCATCACGAACAACACCCGTTGAGCAGTCGAATACGTAACACGATATCAGCCCAATATCGTAGACTGGTTTATTGCAGACCGCTATACCGAACAGATTGTGGACAAAAATACGCATACAAAAAGTACAAATGGCAATCGTTCGTAGCCTGTATCATAAAGTTCATATGCCTTTGTCAGGATAAGAGACGTAGGGTATAAATTTCATATCGACAAAAGGTTTAATGCAAAAAGTATGTACAGATAAAGATCGTGTGAGATCATGTAAGTAGGAACAAAGTTATGGAGGAAAATATTCGTGCTCGCAAACGTTTGTGTGAAAGGTTTTAAGCAACTGTTTGAACCCCAAATGCTCGCGCGCAAATGTTCGTCAAGGACAATGTTCTTTTGGCAAAAGAACGCAAGCAAAGGTTCGTTCTTAGATATATGATGTAGCTACACAATGTATAGACGCAAATGCTCATCACGTTACATTTGTTTGACGAAAGTATCTGAACAAAACTTCGTATGCTGATACATCATGTAAGCACGTACACAAAGTTCATGCTCAAATGCTTCTCAGGCACAAATTTTGTTTGGCAAAGCACGTGCTGAGAACGTCGTATGCAGACGTATCCTACAAGTTCGAGGGCAGATCTCAACCCTTGGTGGTAGCCGTCGGATGAGTGATTGCTGCGGGGGGCCACTGCATCCCGTCGGCTGGGGAGAGAAGACGGGGTTGGTGGTGCAGGCGACAGTTGCATCTATGCAATTGTCAGTGCCTCACCTTACCAATAGATCAGGAGAAATATCATGACTATCCCGACTCTTTATGACATGAAGCTAAGCCCCCTGAGGCGGTCAGCAAAAAAACTCGAATAAGTTGGAGCAGTGCGCGATGGGCCTGAGATGGAGGTGACTGGAGGTTTCGACAGCTAAAGAGCCGTGTCCACTGCAGGTGGCCCGCCGAGCCGCTGTGCTCTCCCGTTAACTCCACTCCAACGACGGCTCTGTCGAAGACTTCGCGTGACACCCCGTGGGCGTGCCATGTGTCACTGACACCAACTGATGGACGCGTTGAGACAGACAAAGATAGATGAAGGCTCCGCGTGACACCCCGTGAGCGTGCCATGTGTCACTGACACCAGCTGATGGACGCGTTGAGGGTCAGCTTGCTTGTGGAATACGGTGGTCAGACGCGCCAATGAGACCTGGCATGCGGTTGCTTATATGCGGCAAATCGGAGTCCAAAGAGAATGATGCGCTACATAGGCCCTCTTCAATTCACTCCCTTCGATTAGTACCTTGTGTGCGTCCGACCCGACATTGTACGAGAGTATCACTTTTAAACTGCACGCGAAAAGAGCTAGACATCGTAAACTCAAATTCACACCTTAGGTCATTCCAGGAAAAAAAATTTGAAGGAATTTGCGAGCTGACTGTGCATAATTTGTTGAGCTGGTGGTCAGTAGGTCTTGGAACGCTGTACGTAAAAGAATTAGCCACCATCTCGAAGGCAATTCTTTCTATGCAGTTCTCTCTAAGCTTAATGTCCAGCATTCTAGAAATTTGGGGGGCACCCAAGGACCCCGCTTCTATGCTGCTCACGAACTTTTGCGCGCATGCTTTCGCCATGTCAACTTTATTCGTTACGAAAACTTCATTCAACTGCCTAAGAAAAATTGCTACGCAATTTATACATACGAGCTGTTCATTCTATGAGCTTTTATCCCGATAAACTTGTGTCAATGCAAACATTTTTTCATGCGCACTTTATATCATAGGAATATTAGCTCACACACTTCTAAGCACACTTTTGCGTACGAAATTCTGCCATGCGAACTTGACAGTTTACGCACATTCGTTTACGAACAATTGCATACGCTTTGCGTATGTCAATTGTGACAGCGTCCATGGTGGCTTGTCATCAAAACGCCTGTTACACCTCTGTGGAGGAGCAAGGAACAGCTTAATATTCGCAAAGAAGTGTAATTAACTGATTTGCATCCCAACGGTTGCTGGCTTGTTCATTGACAGATTCTACTGACCAGGAAAACTATCCTGCATTGACTTCCTTCACGCTCCTCGTGATGTTGGACAACCAGATGCAGGCGAAAAGTGCTTTTGCTGATATGAATAACACTGTTGATGATTGTAGGATTGCTCTACGTTAAGCGGCGCTGTTCCGTTGCTATGCAAGCTTTACTGCTGATTTGTAAGCTTGTTCACCAATGCTTACCTGACAACTAAGAGACTAAGTAAGTTGTAGTATAGTAAATATGCGTAAGTTAAGCTACTTCTGTCTGATCTATGACAATTAAGAGACCCGAACACATTCTGAGACCAGGTTGCAACACAGATCCTCAATCTGACAGTCAAGCATGCAAGGAATCATTGTCATGGGCCAGCGTGCCTCACGACGGCCTTCCCCGCCCGGGCACCGCCGACTCGGCTGTTGGATAAAAATGGCCGGATGTTGCGACCCTTTACCGGCCACAGACGACGGGCCGAGCCCTTCCGCCTCCTACCCCTCTGTCACCGCGGCCAAACCTGTAGCTACGTCGCCCCATGAGTGGACTCATTAGTTCAGAGGCAGGCCAGGACAAACGCCCATGGTGATGGCGCGAATGGGTGCAAGTGTCCGTTGTAGACTGTAGTTGTACTTTTTTATTATTTTTTTCTCGACAACCAACCACGAGGTGGCTTTTCAGATTTCGGCTCATTGCAACATTCGGTAGCCTCGGGTGTTACATCACTCGCTCACAACATGTTACAAAAACACATTACAACACGTAACAATGCACACACACACACACACACACACACACACACACACACACACACACACACACACACACACACACACACACACACACACACACACACACAACACACACACACACCACACACACACACACACACACACACACACACACACACACACACACACACACACATATACATATACATATACATATATATATATATATATATATATATATATATATATATATATATATATATAACAGGCTTTGGTACGAAATATGCCATAACATACGACGCTATGAACTAGATTACAGAATATAACATAACATCCAATGCGATCACACCAGTAACTAGCATATAATCAAAACCAAGATGCATGACCTAATATCTGGGCTTTGAAATGCGAGTCTTTAATCCCTCGAAAGTCAGAGATGAAGACAGTGGTGGCCAGAGGTAGGCGGCTCCAAGCTGACCCGGCACGATAACGAAAGGCTCACTTGGTGGCTTCTAATCGGCACCTGTGCAGGTGGAGAGACATTGGTATAAAGGAGCGCGTCTCCCTCAGTGAAAGAGAGGAGCGTGGCTTAAAGAGATCGAACAGCCGGCGGCGATTCTTTGCATTTTAGGGCTTTGAATACTTTCAGTACGTCCCTCTCTTTCGCCAAGTAATCAGTTCGGGGCCAGCCTAGATTCCAGAGTCGGTATTGTATGCTGGCTGCGTTTTATGCCAAATACAATCCTGGCGGCAAAATTGGAAACTTCTTCAGTCTTTTATACCTGGCACTTGATCACACCAACCCATACGCATATTTATGTGGAAAAAACGCAGGTCTCCATAATTTTAAGATCATTAGGTGTAAAGTAGTGGCTGAGTCGGTACAGCATGATTACATTCCGTTGATTGTAATGCAAAATAATGGATAATGGGCATAAAATTATAATTCCGTCGCATTTTGTACGACTTTTTGATGTGCTTTTCTCACGAAAACGTTGATTCTACCATTACACCGAGAAATTTGATGTGCCGTGTAGGTGAGGTATCCTATCCGTCTATCGCAGAGTGAAAATAACAGGTTTCCTTTAAATCATGTTTTACACCTACGCGAACAAATTCGGTTTTGTTCCATGTGTCTCATGCCTGAAACTGCCTCTGCGCAGTCGCATGCAGAAGTGGTTTGCACCCTAGTCATGTACCTCTCCAACTGGGATCCCTGGGCCCCAAACAGTTCATCCCATACGCACTTTTGTCCTAAAACTATTCCGAACCCTGGCTACGTGCTGCCATCTATATCGAGACTTACTTTTAGATAGCGTCACCTAGGTAGTCAAACAGTCAGGAACATTAACTACGGACCGGCGGGTTTTGCAGCGGCAACAAATGCCAGTATCTGCTTTTTCCTTCCAGCCTACTAGTAAATACGCCATTAAAATTATGTCATAAATTGATTAACGTTCGAATTCATGAATATGTTGCCGTGAGGGTACATCTCATTATATTTAAGTTTATGGAAATAATCTGCTATACCATATTTTCTGCTTCAAAAACACCGGCGGGGAGAAGTGACAGCTGCGGTTTTAGCTGGGGCGGTGTGAAACGGGGAGGTCAGGGGTGCGGCGAGAAAGAGACCTGAATTAATTGAGAATCACGCTGGTAGCGGACGGCTGGTGCCTAGTAACGAGGTGAGATGACACGGGGGAGAAAATTGAAGGGAGAGATGAAAGCTTCAGCCAACTGGACAGGGAATCAATTTGGGGATGGCTTTGGTCTGCATTCGCTTACGTCTGCACTGCGCCCCGAGCTGACAGGCGTAACCTATAGCGGGAGAAGGGTTGGTCCGCCACCTCTTGGACTCTTTCGCTATAGTTGGTTCCTGACTGACCGCTAAGGTGAGGGTTGTCGCCAGCGTAGACCTCGCGCTTCCAATAAACTCGACTGAAGCTGGTGCGAAGCCCATGCGATGTCGAAAGCAGCAGATGCACAAGACGTTTTGGAATACTTTTGCCGACATCATTTAGCTCTATGTGCGATAGCATGACGACGCATAGCGTTTTACCTTGCATTCGTCGCACAGTTCACATCAACCGACGCGTGGATCCATGGTGTTGCGGGCAGTGGAAAAATCGAGGATATTGGCCACAAACATTTTCAGCCGTTTGTGAGGTCACAAAGCCCAAAATTACTGCCAACCTGTTAGTATTTCCGGGCGAGACCTGGCGGTGTGGGACGAAGCTAGATGGAGGTGAACCTAGGCGTAGGAACGTTTCAAGAAGTGTGTATGGGGGGGGGAGGGGGCAAGCTCAGGGTGTACCTCAGAAACTTTTTCTGGGAAGCGAACCCGATGATGGGGGGGGGGGGGGGGGGGGTAGAGATGGAGTTTGTTATCATTCTTTATTCCAATGCTATGGCTGTTATGCTATATATGCATTTAAAGCTGTTTCTTAATGGTGCACAATCTTGCCCATCCGACTCACCTCTGTCATTCGGCAAATAAGGCCATAAAGCTTCCCAGGATTCTTCGTCCATTTTAACACTGTGTTTTCTGTGGAGGCGAAATTCCACGAGCGGGTAGGCATTTTGGGTCGTCAAGGAGGCATCTGACCCCACAGGGTAGATGCCAAGATACGGCCTGGATATTGGCTGGTGAGATGGCTCTTCCGGCTGTCGTTCTGGCGACAGGGGGCAGGATCTCCTGGTTTATCCGGATGCCATAAGAAAGATATATCATGTCACATTGTTCAGAAGGCCTCCCTGACACGGAGGCCTTCTGACCAGCGCAGTTGGCCCGGATCAGCACAAACGCTCATCGAGGCAACATCCCTGATGGCCGCATGTGGTCCAATAGTTGTCACATAGACTCCAGGTTCCATGTTTTCTGTGTTCTTCGGAAATAATGAGGACCCCCTGAACGTAGATTAAAGATGAGAGGGGGTCCCAAATTTTTACCAGCATGGCTAATCCATGGTCATCTTAAAATATTCAAGATTAAATCAGAAATGATTACCGATAAAAAACTATGTAAAATGGTTTTGAACGTGCGCGCTCGCAAGTTGTAGCAGCAACAGCCTCGACGCCCCGCGTTACAGTCTCCATGGGCCGCGCGACGTCGGCCTTGCTGCTGTGACACTAAGCAGATGGCCAATAAGCGAACGAAAAAGATGACACGTCTTGATGAAGGTGGGTGATGAAATATGTAAATCGTCATGTACGTTAAATGCAGCTCAAAATTAAGCTAGACACAGCCCTCATTTGAACAATGTGTGTGTGGGGGGGGGGGACCCTGCTGGCCACCCACCTTGAAAATTGGGACCATGGCCCCTGCCCCCCCCCCCCCCCTGTTCCTACACCCATGAGCTGAACAGAGCCAAGTGGGATCGGACACGATCGGACGGGACCGGATGAAACCGGAAGGAACGTTGTGGGGCTGAACCGCACCTTATGGCTGAGAACGGACCAGATGGAACCAAACGGGCTTGGAAGTGATTAAGTGATTGAGCCAAACCAGGTGGGATTAGACGATATCAAACACTATTGGGCTTTACGGATAGAAGCCGGCGGTACCAGACGTAACCGGACGGCGCGGGATCGCCAGAGATGGTCCGGATCGGACGGGGTGGCGCGGGACTAGACAGTGGCGCATGGGACCAGACGCGATGGGGAGGCACCGGATGGGACTGGACGCGACTGGAGTGGGCTGGAGGAGGCGAGAATGGGCTGGACGTGGCTGGATGGAACCAAATAGGCTAGACAAGACTGAATAAACCAAGTGGGACCAGACTAAACCAGACCAAACGAGGCCAAATGGTACCAGGTGGGATCATACAGGACCCTACGGGCCCTGACGGGATCAGACGGGCCCGGTCTGGTCCTGAAGGTTCCGTTCTAGTCCCAGCTAGTGCCGCCCTGCCCCGTCCTGTCCCGTCCCGTTCCGTCCCGTTGCCATCGGCCACGTGACTTGCCGTCCGATCCCGTCCCAGCACACCATATGTGTGGTCCCATCAGGCATCGTCCAGTCTAGCCCGGTCCCAGGTCGTGCACGGTTCCACCTGATCCCCATCTGGTCTCTGCCGTTTCACCCTGTACCATCTGATCCCATTTTGTAGCGTTTTGTATTCGGTCACGTCCGTTGCCGTCCGATTTCATCTGACCCTGTCTGGTCAGGTCCAATCCTGTCCGGTCCCGTTGGATCCTGTCCGGTCCTGTCCGATCCCGTTTGGTCCCATTCCATCTTACCCAGTTCTGTCCGATCTTGTCTGCTCATGTCCGGTCCCGTCCGATCCTGTCCGCTCCCGTCCGATCCTGTCCGCTCCCGTCCGATCCAGTCCAGTCCCCTTCGGTCCCGTCCGGTCCTGTCCTGTCCGGTTCTGTTCTGTCCGGTCCTGTCCGGTCCTGTCCCGTCCAGTTCGGCCAGGTCCCTCCCGATCCGCTCCGGTACCATCTGGCTTCAGTGATGTTCCGTTCGCTTGCTTCCCGTAATGCCCGGTGGCGTCCAATTCCGCTCAGTCCCGTCTGGTCCTGTGATGTTCCGTTCGCTTGCTTCCTGTAATGCCCGGTGGCGTCCAATTCCGCTCAGTCCCGTCTGGCCCTGCCCGCCTCCATCCGGTCCCGTCCCGTCCCACCTAACCCCAAAAGGTCTCATCTGCTTAAGTCCGGTCCTATCTGATCTGTCCTATCGGTCGGTCCTATTCGCCCGGTCTCGTCTGGTTTGGTCTGGTTCAGTCTTACCTCATGAGGTTACGTCCGGTTTTGTCCGGTTCCGTCCCGTCGGGTCCGGTTTCATGTTTCCCGTTTTGTCCCACCCGGTTCATTTCGGTCACGTTTAATGCCAACCGATTCCGTCAGGCTCTAATAAGTCCCTTCTGGTTCCGTCCTGTCCCGCTGGCCCATTTCTTTTCCGTCCGGTTCCGTCCGGTCACGTCCAGTGCCGTCCGATCCCGTCTGGGCCTGTCCATTACTGTCCGGTCCCATCTGATTCTATCTCGTCCGGATTCATTCGCTCCCGTCTGGTCTGGTCGCGCCCAGTCTTGTTTGGAGTAGTTCCGTCCAGTTCCATCTTGCTTTATAGTGTTCCAGCTCGCTCCGGTGCCGTCCGCTTCCGTCCGGCTCCGTGTGGCCCCGTTCCGTCCCTCTGGTTCTGTTCGGCCACCGTACGTCGGCTAGGGGCCTCACACATGACGGAAAGCGCCGGAAGCCATCATGGACTTGCTGGACTTAGGCGCATATGTAACTGTCATCAGGTTGGCAGTAATTTTGTGGTTGCGGGTCGTCATACATTCAGGTGGAAGTGTTGACAGACTGAACTATTTTTGCATAATCAGTCGTCAGCCGCACCGCAAATTTACGCGCCGCCTCATACCAAATGGGGGGGGGGGGGGGGGAGGAGGCAGCTGTGAGGGAAAACATCATTTATTGCCATCATATTGGACATAGAGCAAAGTGAAGGTGCTAAAACCATTCAGAAACGTGTGGCGTATCTACTTAAACCATTATAGCATGGTTTACATGACCAGTTAACTTGATTCCGCTCATTTTAAGAAGAGCAAGGCTTTCGCGGGCGATGCCAAATGACCTGCCCCCTCCCCCATCACCTTCTTAAGATAGGTCTGCTTGTACCACTGGCTCCCAGCTGCACCTAGCGTTTTCATTGTCAGCACAGGGTCGCGGACGCATGCATAAACAAATGCGTGAAGCGTGCTATGCACGGCGTCATGATTCATAGTATAACTGTGTGAAATCATGGGCCTAGAAGCAGAGGGGGACGGGAGGCCTTCACTTTTTTTTGTGGTTTTTGCTAGAATGTCTGGCATGATCCCTACGGCGATGCATGGAGGAAATTGTGGTAGCCGACCATGACATTCAGGATTTTCGAAAGGTTTAGGAAAGTCACAGGAAACCCAGTTTCCACTCATTAAACTAAGCACTGTGTCGACACAGCCCGTGAGCAAGGGGTGTAGGCTCCTATTCAGTTTGGGGCTTCAGCCCCCCCCCCCCCCCTCCACCCCATTTCGGCTTGCCCAGCTTGGGCTCCAGCCCCAACGTTGAGAAAAAAGTGGGCTGAATCCTGTTAGAAACCCGCGTGTTAGCTTCTTTTTTTGTTGTGTTTTTTTTTGTTTTTTGTTTTTTTATAGGTTGTGCCATTTTTCACTGCCTAGCCCCCCCCCCTCCCCTGCGACTCATTTGGGGAAACTACAACCCCTACGTTGAGCCGGACCATATCAAGTAAAAAATCTGGCGACTGTAGGTGAAGTATTGGTTATCTAACGATGACCGTGCCCGGAGGTCGTTCCACAATTATCCAAGCGACATTGCTGAGAAAACAGCACACGGAAACACCGGAGCGCTGTGAGATTTGGCATTGCTGACGATGCACTATTTCTGCGTATTTGGATATGAGGTCTTGGATCTGTATGCAATAGATCCAAAGCCTCATCAGGTCACTGAGTCATAAAGTTGTTTCTGGACAGACAGACAGATTGCTAGCATTGAAGGCACTAGCCGACAGACAGTGTGACGGCCGGCCCTGTTCCCTGTCAAGTAAGGCCCGCTCAGTCCTAAGGCTCGCCGGTAGTAATGCCTGTTTAGAAGCAAGGCCGCTAACGAACACATCTGACCTGAACGGAACTCAAATTTTCAACTTGGGCCCGGTCACCACAGTTTGTAGAATCAAATATTTTGTGTTACT